TTAGGGTTTAGGGTTTTGTAGGTCTCTGCCGGAGTCTCGGAGAAGCAGAAGACACCCACTTTGTTTGCTGCTGACAGGCTAACTCTTTAAACAGCAGCAGCAAACTGAGTTAACCTTCGTGCTGCTACTCGCAGCAAAGCCAGAAGCATTGGGAGGAGAGTATAGCAGCGCAGCAGCAGAAGCTGCCGCTGCTGCTGCAGTAGCAAAAGAAGCAACAGCTGCTGCAGCAACAGCAACAGCTATAACAGCAGCACCACCAACAGCTATACACAGCAACGGCAACAGCTGCAGCAACAGCAACTGATGCTGCAGCAGCAGCAGAAGCGTGTTGAGAGCGCAGCAAGGGTTTGCCTGCTACTCCTACAACTTCCGTTTGTCTTTATTTTATTTTGTATTTAAGTTGCCGTTGAGTCTGAGGTGTATATGCAACTCAACATACATTGAGGTGTACAGGCAGCTGCTGCTGCTGCTGCTGCGAGAGGAAAAGGAAGTGAAATCTCTGAATATTCGGAGTATAATATTAAAATAGATCAAAATTTTAAATTTAAATTTTAATTTTAATTCTTTTTTTCTACTTTATAGTCAAAGAATTATAATCTGAGGTGTACAGACACCTCAGCCCATTGGACCGCCTTATCGGCTCTTTAAGCAGCTCATTTCTTTTTTCTTCTTCTTTATTTTCTTTTTACTTTAAATTCATAGAAAAACAAATAAATATTTATATTTTTAAAATATTTATTTTAAAAAACTAAGAGAGAAGCCCCTTAACAACGCTGCGCTGCATGCAGAAAATTTCAACATACACCGCAGACCTGCATATACACCGCAGCAGTCTGTCTGCAGCTACACACAACTGTGTTAAAAAGGTAGGGGGCAGCAACAGCAACAGCAACAGCAGCAGCAATAGCAACAGCAACAGCAACAGCAGCAGCAGCAGGAACAGCAACAGCAGCTAGAACAGCAACAGCAACCGCAACAGCGGCAGCAGCACGGCGTGCTGCTGCCGCTGCAGCAGAAGGCAGCAGACAGTGACGAAGCAGCAACTCCAGCAGCTGGAAACCCAGACCAGCAGCAGCAGCAGCAGCAGCAGCAAGTAAAACGGCCTCAACTGGTTTCGAGCCAGAAGTAAAAACTGCTGCTGCTGCAGGTTCAAGTGTATCTCCCTCAGTTGCAGTTTGCTGCTGTACTGCAGCAGCAGCAGCAGTAGTAGTAGTAGTCATAGCAGCAGCAGGAGTGCAGAAACGAAAGTATTGATTGCTGACGATGGGGTTGCTGCTGTTTCTCTTTAGCTGCTTTGCTGCTGCTGCTGCTGCAGCCGCTGCTGCTGCTGCCGGCGCTGTGGAGCCGCTGACAGCTGCTGAACTCAGAGACACGCTGCGTGCAGCAGCAGCAACAGCAGCAGCAACACCAGCAGCAGCAACAGCGGACTCAGCAGCAGCAGCAGCAGCAGCAGCAGCAGCAGAGGGCGATTTGCTGCTTGTTGCTTTCATGAGCAGCTCCTCTCAGGCCTGGAGGCAAACTTCTGCTGCATTCAAGGCAGCAGCAGCAGATTACCTTCATATTGTTGAACAGCAGCAGCAGCAGCAGCAGCAGCAGCAGCTGTTGCTGCTGCCACCTGTCTCCTTCCGCGTGTTTGATTGTGAAGCAAACGTAGAAGCAGTGTCTCTTTGTTCTGCTGCTGCAGGGATTACAGACTATCCAACGTTTTTGCTGCTGCATCAACCTCCAGCAGCAGCAAGAGCAGCAGCAGCAGCAACAGCAGCAAGGGAGTTTACCCCGGAAGCAGCAGCAGCAGCAGTTGCTGCAGCAGTTGTAGCAGCACTCAACTCAGCGTCTCTCCCTGATGAAAGAGACTTCGTGCAGTTTTTGCTGCGTTATGCTTCACCCTTCTCGTCTCTATCATCAGCAGCAACAGCAGCAGCAACAGCAGCAGCAAATGCAGCAGCAGCAGCAGCAGTAGGCAGTTGCGTGATACAGATGCAGCAGGAGGAAATGCTGCAGCTGCTGCACTTCGATGAAAAGCGCGGCAGCTCTATGACTTCTTTTCTTTTATGTATGGACACTCAGACAGAACCAGCAGCAGCAGCAGCAGCAGCAACACCAGCAGCAGCAGCAGCAGCAGCAGAGAGGGATGCCGCCCTTTCTTCTTTTTTGCATTTGTCTTGCGCTTATCCCCGAAGAAACTTATTTCTTATATCCACAGAATTAAGCCTATGTACTAAACAAATCAGCAGCAGCAGCAGCAGCAGGAGCAGCAGCAGCAGCAGGAGGAGCTCGTTTATGTTGCTGGCGCTGCAGCCGCTTGCTGCAGCAGCAGCAGATGACGAGCAGCAAACTGAGTGGGGGACAGAGCGACAGCTGCAGCAGCAAATAATTGAGTACCTAGGGAGACGGTGGCAGCAAAGCGAAGAGAGACAGAGTCTCCTCAATGCAGTCAACATACTCAGCAGCAGCAGCAGCAGCAGCAGCAGCAGCAGCAGCAGCAGCAGCGGGGTGTGCTTTCCGCTGCTGCTTGCGCAGGAGAGAGACTTCTTCCTGCCTACAATGAATGGCGGCTGCAGCAGCACGCAGTCTGCTGCTGCTGCTGCTGCTGCTGCTGCAGGGCATGATGACCCATCCTCAGCATCCGCAACAGCAGCAGCAACAGCAGCAGCAACAGCAGCAGCAACAGCAGCAGCAGTAAACCGTTTTATTGAGGTGTATGATCAGCCTGTGCTGTCTTTTATATCACAGTGCAACTTCTTTTCTTTACGTGTCTCTCTGGGGGCGGATGAAGGCAAGGGGCGTCTCCTCTTTACTTTAGTTTTTGATGCTGCCGCTGCTGCTGCTGCTGCTGCAAGAGACAATGAAGCTGCTGCTGCTGCTGCTGCTGCTGCGGAGGGGGAGCGACTGCAGCAGAGGAACGAGGAGAACGAGACAAGCAGCAGCAGCATTCAAGCAGCAGCATATGAGATATTTGGTGTTGCTGCGCAGCTCGAGAAGCGGCTGCAGCAGCAAGAAGTGCTGCAGCAGATAGCAGAGCAGCGCATGCAGCAGTCGCTGCAGCAGCTAACAAAGTATTTTGCTGTTGTGTCTGCTGAGTTGCACAGATCCATCTTAAAGGCAGCAGAAGCAGCAGAAGCAGCAGAAGCAGCAGCAGCAGAAGCAGCTGCAGCAGCAGCTACAGACCCTTCCGACAAAGCAGCAGCAGAAGCAGCAGCAGCAGCAGCAGCAGAGGCAGCAGCAGCAGCAGCAGCAGCAGCAGCACCTTGTAGGGGCCCCTTTAGCTTCGCTTTGCTTCATGGTGTTCTCTTTGCTGATTCTCTTGAAGGGTTTGGGGTGTATACGCAGGTAGAGCTTCCTTCACTAATAGGCTTATCGCCTATCTTTATCAGCGACAGCCGCCCGTCTGCTGCCTTCTTCCGCCAGCAGCAGCAGCAGCAGCAGCAGCAGCAGCAGCAGCAGCAGCAGGAGCAGCAGCAGGCAACGAGCTGGGGGTTGTTATTAAAAGAACCTGCGTTTTACTTAAGAGACCGCTTCGCACTGACGCTGGACACTCTAGAGCAGCAGCTGGAGCAGCTGCAGCAGCAGGAGCAGCAGCAGCAGCTGCAGCAGCACGCTGAAGGCTATGATTGGTGGAGGGACGGCAGCTGGCTGCGAAGAGCAGCAGGAGAATATATTATTATACCGCTTAGGAAGCCTGCTGTAGAGTTTTTATATGCTGGGGTGTATAGGCAGGCAGCAACAGTCCTTTGGGTTTGCTGCTGTTTGCTGCTGCTGCTGATTGTCTCTCTCCTCATCTGCTGCAATATTTACGACTGGGATGCTCTTGCTGCTGATGCTGTTGATGTTGCTGCTGCTGCTGCTGCTGCTGCTAAACGCAGAGCTCTAACGCTCCTAGGAACGGGGCCGCGCAGCAACAGCAGTAGCAGATGCAGCAGCAATAGCAGCAGCAGAAGCAGCAGCAGAAGCAGCAGCAGAAGCAGCAGCGGAAGCAGCAGCAGCAGCAGCAGCAGAAGCAGCAGCAGGAGCAGCAGCAGGAGCCGCAGCAGCGAACAACAGAAGCAACTGAGAAACAAGAAGGACGACTGAAGCGCTGCGCAAAACATTAGCAGCAGCTGCTGCAGCAACTGCAGCAGCAACACCAAGAACAGCGGCAGCAGCAGCAACACCAACAGCAGCAGCAGCATGTTTTGCTGCTTACGAGGATATTAATTATTTGCTGCAGATTACTGCTGACGCTGTTTTTGTTTTATTTAAAGCAAACAACAGCAGCAAATTATTTGCTTGTGGTGTACGTACACCTCAACCCAAACACAGAGAGTAAAAACTCTTAAATAAATAAATAAATAAATAAATAAATAAATAAATAAATAAATAAATAAATAAATAAATAAATAGAACAAACAAACAAACTGCGAACCGGCAATATGAAGAAAACAAATTTTGTTAAGGAGACAGTAAATGCATGTTAAGGAGACAGTAAATAAATAAATAAATAAATAAATAAGTAAATAAAATAAATAAATAAGTATAAATATATTTATATCTAAATAAATTTATATATTTATATTTATTTATATTAAAGAGACGATACAGTTCATTAAGAAGAAGCAAACGGAGACAGTTGCAGCTCTTGTTTTTGTTTGCTGTCTCTCTTTCTTTTTTTGTCTCCTTTGCTTCCTTTGTGCTGAGGGTTTTATTTTCCTTTGCTGCTGCTGTTGCTGCTGCTGCTGCTGCTGCTGCTGCTGCTGCAGCATCTCTGCTGCAGCATTTCTTTGCTGCAGCTGCAGCTTTCTGTCTGTTTGTTTGCTGCCCCTTATATTTATTCTTCTCTAGAGACTGTCTTTATTGAGGTAATATTATAAAACAAACAAATACAAAAAAACGAGAAAGAAGAAGCAGCAGCAGCAACTGCAGCAACTGCAGCAGCAACGGGAATAGCAGCAGCAGCAACAGAAATAGCAGCAGCAACAACTGCAGCATCAGCAGCAAGATAGACAATACCAGAAATAGACGCA